TTACGTGTGTTAGTGTTTGTTCGGTGTATTGAAACTTTAGGTATGAAACAGACGAACCAAACGTACCGAAAAAAAAGTACACCAACAATTTGTGATATTACAGTACTCTTGTTGTTGGGTGTTGCCGGTTGAATGCTGTTCATGGCAGATATCCTATGCATAAATATGGGCTTGTATATTCTGATTGTCTGATTGCTGACAGATACGAACGCAGCGAAGCTCTCTCCTGCGCCCGCATGCGCCGAGATCCCACTGCTGTCAACGGATGACACTGCAGCCCAGTCGCCAGCGACGGCGGCAGCTGCTGCTGCTGCTGCTTCGTCAGGAGATGGGAACAGCTCACAAGGCGGCAAGCCACCTCCATCGCCGCCATCCTGCCTGCTCTCGGACATGGCCTGTCTCAGCTCGTATGAGATTGATGGCTTGCGACGGCTGCTGGCCGAGCTGAACGTTTCCACGACGATGGTGAGGGCGTGTCCCGAGGAGCTGGGGGATCCTGGGGAGCTCATGTCGACCGTGGAGGTAAGTTGTCGTGTGTGATGTGTGGGTAAAACCGAAGTTACCGAAAATAAATCTCCACCTAAATTTTCCGGTTTTACAGTAGCCAATCTTCAGGGACATACATATGGGACATACATAACTATTGGCGTAGATTTGCTTAATCGTTATGCCTTGTATTCTCTTGTCAAATGTACACCGTAGATTCTGTTGAACGAGTATGAAAGCCAGTATTCTCCTCTGCAATGTACAAGCATTTTCCTGTGCAATGTATGCTGTATATTCTGTTGAATGAGTATGAATTCTCCTGTGCAACGTGCGCTGTAGATTCTGTTGAACGAGTATGAAAGCCGGTTTCGCGAGGACAAGGCCACTGGACATTCTATGCTCATACCGGGTATACAATCTGAGGTATGGTGGTGAATTGCTGTGTGGTACTGCTGCTGCTGCTATTGCTGCTAATAGTGCAGCTATTGCTGCTGCTGCTTCTGCTGTTGCTGATGTTGCTCTCCTCTCCATCCCCACCATCTGCCTGTGGAATATTTGACAGTGGCAACATGTACATGTACATGTAGTAACAGGTATATGTTCATGGTGTTTCTTTCCTTCTGCGTGTGTAGAATCTGCGTGTGTCGCCCGCACCAATACCTGACAACATTGTGGAAATAGTTGCAGTTGAAACAGAGATTGTATGCAAGTCCTCAGCTGCTACTGCATCTCCAAAAAAGACAGCTGGTAAGCTACAATGACAGGGGCGTCACAGGGCGGTTGGGAGTGGCACAACGGGGGTGTCCCCCGGGAGAAAAAACATCGGATTTTTCGGCCAACAGGGCACGTTTTAGCGCTCTACAGCCACAAAGGAGGGTTCTCCTAGCACTTATCAGACAACCCCACTCGTACTCCAGCTCCAAAAATACTTCTCATAGATTTGTTGGTCGTACTTCGTAGGTAGCCAAAGCAAAAAGGAAGCCATTGCCCTCGAAAAATCGCAAAATCCGAAGTACAAGCGTGCTGCTTGCTGCACGTTCTAGCGCCAGCCGCTGTGCAAAAACGTATGTTATTACCACAAGGACGATGATATTGCTTTCACAACAATGACCACAACCTAACTGGGTTATCAGTAGGAGCAGTGACACAGCCTTACTGCTCCAAGTAGGATTTAGAAGAGAGTGCAGGGAGAGCAGACCGGGCCGGTCTAAGCAAGGAAGTAATCGGCATCAGAGGTGAGCACGCAGCATCGCAGATTGTCTCGAATTGCGCATCACACCAGCGGCAAAATTGCTCCTGTGCATGCAAGTGGATTTCCTTGCACTTCTCAGTTTGGGAAATGCTCGATTATGATAATTCTGCGTGCGAGTGCACTAGCCCTGAACATACCTGTAGGTGACCCGTTTGTGGTGTCTCATAGCCTACCTCACGACCTTCTGCTTTCTTTCTGCATCACTTGTATCTTGCAGGTATATCATCTCGTGACGACCACATTGAAGTCTGAATTTGAAGTGCGAAGATGCTTCAGCAACCACATCGTACTTTTCCATTGCTTTCATTGTGCTTCTACTGTGCATGTGTGTAACTTGTGGGGTATACATGTGATGACATTGTATGCTGGCGCACGGTCAGATTTTGTCCATGCGTGTAACGTACACCTGCATGTTATGCATCGAAAAGGATCTGCCACTTGCGATCCTGGGAAAAGTATCACGTTAGCTTTGTCTTGTGTGGGCTGTACCAGATTGCTGTTCACTTTTCTATCTGTTGGATATGTGACTTTCTGCAAGTCTCTGGTGTATGGTGGCCACTTCTTTGCTTGTCACTTTGTATGATATTACATTCTGTATTCGCTGCTTCCATGGCGTGGTCTGCAAACTGCAATCCTTGGGCAAATGTCATGTTTGCTATGTTGTGCTTTGGCCGTCAGCTTGTCTACACGTTGTAGTTGAATTATTTTGTTCCACAACTGACTTCCTGAAGTACGATGGCCACTGCTTTGCATGTCATTTTACATGAAGAATTTCCTGTTTGTGTCGTGTGCATGTGCGTATGTGTGCCGTGTGTATCCGCGTGTTTGTGTATCTGTGTGCGGGGTAAGCGAGGTGGGGAGGGCTGGTATGTATCAGTGTGTTATCGTACTCTCATGCCTACATACAGTACATCGCGCGCGTGTTCATCATGTTTACCTTCGGGGTTGGGGTGGGGAGGGAACGGAAAAAGAACTGAAATTATCCATATAAAAATCGCTCTGTGAGCGGTTCTGAAAAACCTTTACTGGCGCTGCCCCGTCGTAAAAGTAAGAAATTAAAACTGTCCCCCCAAATGTGAACTGATCCACCTAAATCGCGAATGACGGGACCCGAAGGCACCAGTAGCACGAGGTCGGGAGGGCACAGGATCACAGCACATCATACTTTCATAGGGTAACACCATCACTAGTACATGGTATCAGTGGCAGTGTAACTTTGCTAGTCACATAGTTACTTCCATCGGATATCCAACATGGGAGTTCATCGACGACCATGGCCTGTGAACCAGCGTCCCCAGCTGCATCCACAGGTAGGAACCTGATTGATTGATTGATTTTATTTGGATTCGTGAGACCAAACGAGCAGCAGGAGTGCTCAATAACAGGGTAGCGAATGGTTGAGTTGTGCTTTGTGACAATGTAGTGTGTGCGGAGGCCCAATACGATGTAAGGGGATGGGAGGAGAGAAGGCCAGCGGAGAGTCAAACTCAGAAGAGGGAGGAGAGAATAACTGAAGTACACATTTACTGTGCGAATTCAAATAAACCAGACAAACAGCAAAACGAGTACACAGCTCACGAGAATAAAGAGGACTGGAGCACAGAATTGAACTGCTGAAGTCGTACACAGCTGACGAGAACAAAGACAGGAGCACAGAAATGAACGGGAGGCAGTCTACGAAGTGGTGGTACCATCGGTGCATGCACCACGGTACATTATCCGGTACATTATCACATTATCGGCTTTGCAAAGTTCGTGGGTACTGAATACCATGGTATAGCCAACTGTGTAGCAGTCTACAACGACTTACGTGTAGGGAATGGCATCTCGGCGGAATGCTGGGATGTTGCCCATGGCTCGGCGGAATGCTGGGATGTTTTCCCATGGCTCGGCGGAATGCTGGGATGTTGCCCATGGCTCGGCGGAATGCTGGGATGTTGCCCATGGCTCGGCGGAATGCTGGGATGTTGCCCACGGCTCGGCGGAATGCTGGGATGTTGCCCATGGCTCGGCGGAATGCTGGGATGTTGCCCATGGCTCGGCGGAATGCTGGGATGTTGCCCATGGCTCGGCGGAATGCTGGGATGTTGCCCATAGCTCGGCGGAATTCTGGGATGTTACCCATGGCTCGGCGGAATGCTGGGATGTTACCCATGGCTCGGCGGAATGCTGGGATGTTACCCATGGCTCGCACCGTGTCAGGTACAGCTGTATTTGGTTCCATAACAGGCAACCGTGAGATGCCGGTCGGCATTGGCCTGCTCGGCTTCTGGCTATTGGTTGTTGTAGGCCCAGACTGCCCTGAAGGCGAGTTGCTCCGCAGTTGCGAACAAACAGTGCCTGCAGAGCAGGACTGGCATGGTTATGAACGCATCGCCATACCAGCACGAGCAGTTTCTGGCGATATACCTCGTCCATGCGATGCACAGAGCCTCTCCAAGTGATCACTGGCCCTGGTAAATCGTGGTCGTCCGAACACCGCCCTTGCTGCGCGGTTTTGGGCCACCTGCAAGCGGTTTAGCTGGTTGTGGGTCAAGCCGGAGCCATATGCTGACGATCCATATATCAAATCCGGCATGATGACAGATAAGAAGTACTTGCTTCGACTAGCTAGAGTGAGGCAGCGTCGCGCCCGCCACAGACTACCGATCTTCCTAGCAGTGCGTGAGATGCACCGATCAACTTGCGGTTGCCAGGCCATTCGTTCATCGATTAAGACGTCGAGGTATTTCGCGCCGGTGGTGTGCGGAAGGACATCATTTCGACAGCGTACAACCACGTCCGGCTGCTGCCCACTGCTGCTGGTAAAAACCAATACATTGCTCTTCTTTGCATTTAATACAAGACCACGAGCGTCCAGCCGACTTGAGAGGGAGGTAACCACCAAGCTGAGCGCATCAGACACCTCTTGCGCTGTCCGTCTTGCACATGTCAGGGCGATGTCATCCGCAAACTGCAGTGATGATGCCGGCGCAGATTCCGAGGGGATATCTCTGGTGTATGGAGAACAGCATGGGTCCTAGTACAGAGCCCTGCGGCACACCACAAGTGCACCCTCGTGCTACTGCTGGGTTCGGGTCACGTCATTCGTGATTCAGGTGGATCAGTTCACATTTGGGGGTACAATGAGCCACGGTTTTAATTTCTTACTTTTACGACGGGGCAGCGCCAGTAAAGGTTTTTCTTAACCGCTCACGTTCACAGAGCGGTTCAAGTTATATGGATAATGTAAATAATACTAATATGCTACCTGTGGTGTGGTGCAAGCTCAGCACTGAGCTAAATCAAACAATGCTACATACAGCCTACACAGCCTCTAATGGCCCTCTATACAGTGCTGCGATGGCAGAACTTCACATCACTGGCCTTTCTTCGGCCTCCAGCTATGCCTGTCACACCCTTTGTGAATCAAACACCAGTGGCAGGCCACGCGAAAATGAGAATGCGCGCAGCCAAGATTAGGCCATCATCTAATTCATCAATCATCCCGGCGGTCACTCCGCCCGTTCAATATCCAACACCAGTCCCCAAGAAAGAATAAGGCACGAGATTTCAAGTTCAAGGGCAAAGCTAAAGCCAATGAATGGCACTGATTTTTGGAATTGTCGAGCAGAACAAAAATATACATGTATAATCGAAGGCGATCGTGACGGTCAGATTCGACACACACGCGCGTGACACAGTTTGGGTCGCGCTCGAGCGTGTGTCGCGCCTCGCATTTGCTGCAGCTCGAGCGCGCCCATGATGAGTCTCGCGCTTGCGACAGGCTAGCCAAAAGTAATCTTTTTTTACGAATTCTGTGACGTCATGTTTTGGAAGAATGTCCCAACAGTCATTCGCGTATTATTATGAATGGTCCCGGACACCTCAACACCAACAACATGCATCAGATACGTGCAGTCAAATGAGCACGGAGGAGAGAGCAAATCGAAAGAGCAGAGAAATCAGCAGTGAATGAATGAAGTAGTGTTGTTCGAGGGTAGTATTGATCATAACTACATGTTATCACAGTCCGTTGTTCAGATCCAAGCTGTGTACATCAACCCAGTGAATGTTAGAGACGGGACTACATGATGTATTTACCTACTTTTCAGTATGGTGTGTGATGGTTGAGATGTCCGTATTGACTACAGACCTTGTGTGTTGTACAGTGTAAACCTTGATCGATCTCGACCTGGAGTAGGTCCAGTGTGACTACGACCATGAGCAACGTGTGTGTAAACAAAACCAACCTGGACACCAGTATAGCAGCAGTCAACGGAGAACAGGGACTGACTAAGGGATTGCATATCATTCACCATCCACATCACACCATCGCCTGCGGGGACCATGCTGAGAAGTTAGAACGCATTGCACGGAGCTGTCCAAATGTGCCAGACTTTGACATACGCTTGTCATACATCCGTGCTATGTGTCCAAACTAGCCTAATCCATTCTCCCTGGTGATGCCTGCTACTTTGTAGCAATCTATGTGGTGTGTGTTGGCAGGTAGCAGGGTAGTGGAGATGACTTGATGGTGGCACTGCTGCTCTTGCCGTGACTAATGATCCTACATGTACTGTAGATACTGGAAATGTAACAGATGTCTTCCCAGTACAACTCTCCACTATATACACTGGAGAGTAGTGAACACTAAATGTGATGTACACTTGACATCCACAACAAACAGATCATGAGTACAAAGATAGATGCACGAACAACGTTTTTCTTTCTGAAACTGAGTGCCTTGGAAATCATCACATCCTGCGCTTCTGCTGCAAGATTTACAACTGGGTCTATAGAGTTTGTGCAGCATCCTACACACACAAACAGACAGGTCATTGCATAGCTAGGGATAACGGACATAGCTGGTTGGTAATCGTATATTAGCAGCTAGCACTATCAATCACAGAGGTCACTGCATAGTTAGGGGGGATAACTGACATAGCTGGTTGGTATATCATCTAGCGCTATCTGATGTAGCAATCAGCTATGTATGAATGTCAGTCTCAACGAGGTGGCAGGAAAGGTACTGGGTGAACAGTATCGTCTTCAACACGCAAATGACCCGTTACCTACGCCACAGTAGTCTCAGCTTTCACATACATACGCATACTTGTTACTGAGGCAGACAGATGTTGAAAATGTATTCGTAAATCCTACTAGACTTGTACTGCTGGGGACAACTACCAAACAAACATAACCTAAAAAAAAGATAACACTCTTGTAGCGACACGATCAGCATACGTTATTGTTACAGTACTTCTGTGATATTTCCACTTTTGTCACATTGTCTTGAGTAGCAGACAATTCTCGCATATCCTACCAATGTTCTGTGGTGAGGTGTGAATTTTGTAGCTGTTGGTTATTTCTGTTTGTGTAAATCACACCAGTAGGGAATTTCCCCTATATACATGTATAGTCATGTAGTCTTGTAGTCTCTAATTTCACATTTCATTTTCATTCTTTATGATGGTCCTGATGACAGAAACGTTTGATTATTCACTTGAAAACGTTCACCACGATATGATTCGCAATCGTTGAGTGTCAGCCAGAGTTTGCAAAGGCGCTCCATGGTATGCAGTAAAACTTGCCGCTGAGGTAGTTTATAGCTTATGCATAGCTTCGTAGCAGATCACCATCTCATCACGTGATCTCATTACGTAAATATCTGCTAACCCGACCGACAGGAGTGCCTTGTGCCAGCTATAATACTAGTAAGTAGAGGTGACTGGATGGTCGTGTGGAACAGTGCTCTCTCACTTACTTGTATTATATTACTA